TCCCTATAGTTTTCTTTGTTTTACCTAAATAGCACATTTACTATGGTATTTCTCTGACTTTCTGACTTCATTTGATACAAGGGGTAGACCCCCTTGTATCGCTTGAACTGGCGGAAGAAGCTTTCTGTTATAACTTGTGACTGGCAGATGCTAACCTTACTAGTGTGCAGGCGATGACTGGTTTAGAAATTGCTCATTAAAATCCTGACAGTCACTGTGGTAGATGAGTGGATTCACTTTTACCTATACCTGGTATATTATATATATATATATATATATATATTATATATATATATATAAATATATATATATTATATTTTATATATATTATATATATATGTATAGTGTGTGTGTGTAAGTGTTGTGTGTGTGTGTGGTGTGTGTGTGTGTGTGTGTGTGTGTGTGTGTGTGGTGTGTGTGTGTGGTGTGTGTGTGTGAAGTGTGTGTGTGTGTGTGTGTGTGTGTGTGTTGTGTTGTGTGTGGTGTGTGTGTGTGTTGTGTACTCACCTATATGTGTTTTGCAGGGGTCGAGTCATAGTCCTAGCCCCGCCTCTTCACTGGTCGATACTTATTCACTCTCTCACCTTCTCCATGAATTTGCTATACCTCTTTTTAAAGCTATTATGGAACTTGCTTCCACTACTTCACTCTCCAATTATTCCAGTTCCTGACAACTCTAAGACTAAAGAAATACTCCTACATCCCTAATGACTCATCTGGGTTTTCAGTTTCCAATTGTTTCCACGTTGTTTCTGTATCCCATCTCTGAAACATTCGATCCTTGTCCACCTTGTCAATGCCTCTTAGTATTTTATATCGTTGTTATCAAGTCTCTTTATCCCTCCTATCCTCTAGTGTCATCAGGTTGAGTTCCCTTAACCTCTCCTCATTAAGACATACCCCTCAGTTCCGGGACTAATCGTGTTGCAATTTTTGCACTTGCTCCAATTCTTGACGTTTGACTAAGTGAGGGTTCCATACTGGTGCTGCATATTCCAGTATAGGTCTTACGTACACTGTGTACAATGTCGTGAATGACTCCTTACTCAGATGTCTAAACGCCAATCTTAGGTTTTCCAATCTCCCATATGCTGCACAGTTATTTGATTGATGTGTGCCTCAGGGACATGTTCGTTATAATGCTTACCCCAAGATCCTTTTCTTTAACTGACGTTTGCAGCTGTTGGTTTTCCTAACCTGTACTCCGTCTGCGGTCTTCTGTGTCCTTCCCCAATCTTCAGACCTTACACTTACTGGGTTAAACTCCAGGAACCATTTGTCGGACCATACTTGTAGTTTGTCCAGATCCCCTTGTAATCTTAACTGATCCTCGCCCACTTGTATTCTCCTCATCAGTTTCACTCATCAGCGAACAGTGACACTTCTGATCTTATTTCCTTCCACCATGTCATTCACGAATACAAGAAACAGCACCGGGCCTAGGACTGAACCTTGTGGAACCCCACTCGACACATTCGCCCACTCCGACACTTCAGCACGTACCAACACACGTTGTTTCCTTCTTGTCAGGTATTCCCTGATCCATTGCAGTGCTTTCCCCTTTATTCCTGCCTGCTCCTCTAATTTTTGCACCAGTCTCTTGTGTGGTACTGTGTCAAAAGCCTTCTTGCAATCTAAGAAGATACAATCTTCCCATCCCTCTCTCTCATGTCTTACTTCTGTTACCTTATTGTAGAACTCAAGTAAATTTGTGACACAGGATTTCCCATCTCTGAAGCCATGCTGACTGTCATGTATGAGCCCAATCTTTTCAATGTGTTCCACTACTTTTCTCCTGATAATCTTTTCCATGACTTTACATACTATACAAGTCAGTGACACTGGTCTGTAGTTTAATGCTGCCTGTCTGTCCCCTTTCTAAAAAATTAGAACTACGTGTGCTGTCTTCCACGCCTGAGGCAACTGCCCTGTTTCGATAGATTTACTGAAGATTGCTGCTAATGGCACACACAGTTCCTCTGCTCCCTCTCTCAGTATCCATGGAGATATGTTATCTGGGCCCACCGCCTTTGAGGTATCGAGTTCGTCTAGCAGTTTCTTCACCCTACCTTGGTTTGTGTATTTGTGTCCAGCACCTGCTGGTGCACCCTACCTCCACAGTTTGCTGGAAGCATTCCTGACTCTATTGTGAATACTTCTCTAAATCTTTTGTTTAGTTCATCACATACTTCTTGGTCACTCTTCGTGAGCTCCCCTCCTTCTTTCTTCAGACTGATTACCTGGTCCTTGACTGTTGTTTTTCTCCTAATGTGACTGTATAACAACTTTGGTTCAGATTTGGCTTTTGATGCTATGTCGTTCTCGTATTGCCTCTGGGCCTCTCTCCTTATCCTTGCATATTCGTTTCTGGTTCTTCTGCTCATCTCCTTGTTTTCTTGAGTCCTTTGCCTTCTAGACCTTTTCCATGCTGTACACACTTGGCTTTGGCCTCTTTACACCTCCAATTAAACCATGGGCTCACTCTGGTCTTACCATTTTTCTTTTGCCCTTTGGTATGAACCTTTCCTCTGCCTCCCTGCACTTAGTGGCCACTATTTCCATCATTTCATTTACTGTCTTTCCATCTAGTTCTCTTTCCCACTACACTTCATGCAGGAAACTTCTCATTCCTATGTAGTTCCCTTTTTTGAAGTTTGATTTCTCTCTTTGTTCTCGTGCTACTGCATTCTCCACTGTTAACTCAACAAGATATTCAAAACTCAGGACATCATGATCACTAGCGCCAAGGGGTCTTTCGTGGGTGATATCCCTTATGTCTGAACTATTCAAGGTGAATATGTGAATCCAGCCTTGCTGCAAACATCTCCCCTCTCTCTCTGGTTGTATCCCTAACATGTTGGTGCATGAAGTTCTCCAATACAGTCTCCAACATCTTAGCCCTCCATGTTTCTGATCCCCCATGTGGCTCTAGGTTTTCCCAGTCAATCTCTTTATGATTGAAATCCCCCATTATAAGCAATTTTGTCCTACCCATATGAGCCCTCCTGGCCACTTCAGCTAGTGTATCCACCATTGCCCTATTGCACACATCATACTCTTCTCTTGTTCTTCTGCTGTTAAGTGGTGGGTTATACATCACTGCTATCATCACCTTTGGACCACCAGTCTGAAGTGTTCCTACAATTAAGTCGTCTGTTTCCCTTCTTTCCATTCCTCCCATCTCCTCACAACTCCACTGGTTTTTTATGAGCAATGCTACTCCTCCCCTCCTCTGTTCTCTCTGTCTTTCCTCATAATCTGATATCCAGGTGGAAAAATTGCATCTATTATCCCTGTAAGTTTTGTCTCTGTTAGTGCTATAATGTCAGGTGATGCATCAGTGATGCGTTCTTGCCACTCTTCACTCTTATTTGTTATTCCATCTGCATTGGTGTACCATACCTTTAGCTTCCATTCCATTACTGTATTTTGGGAGACGGAAGAGGAAGGTGCAGGCTGGGAGGGTGGGAGGCAGGGCACAATATTATGGGAGGCTGCTGTGACTGTGGAATTAGTGCTTAGAGGGTGGTGGCTATGGAGTAAGGTTCGTTTCTGTTTACTGTGTTTGGTTGATGTGTGGTGACAGGGGTTGAGAGGTTTCTGTAAGCATTTGTGTTTGATGTTCCCCCAAAGGCTGAGTTTTCCTGTCTCTCGTTGCCTGTCCTGTCTCTCTTTCCTTCCACTGGTTCTGTCTTGCTCTCACTTTCAGTTGCTCCCTTTCCTTTCGTGTTCTGTCTCGATTGAGGAACACTTTTTTATAATCTGGAGAGTCCTTTAACAGTGGTTTCTGTTGTAGTATCCTGTTCCGTACCACATCTGTCTTGAATGTCAATCTGATTGGTCGATTTTTTTCCCTCGAAGTCTGTGAAAATTTTCTACCTGAGACATGTCCCTCTCTCCTGTTATTGCAATGATGTTCTTAATCTCTGTTTTCTCCGATGTTTTCTTTCATCATAGGTCTGCGCTTCAGCCTCCTGAAGCCCATGAATAATTATTGATCTCTCCCTCTCCTCTTCCCATTTCTTTTCCCTCTGTTTCTCTGGATCTGATTTGAGCATCTCCTTTGCTGTTTCCCTAATCATCTCCCAGACACCATGATGGCCTGATATTACTGCTGCAAAAGACTGCTTAGATCCATCACCTCCTTCAGTCCCCTCGCTGCCTGCTGATGTTTCCATTTCAGTCATCTTGCTCCTTTCGGACCTCATCTTTAGATCCTGCTTCAGCACATCCTTTTCTTTCTCCAATCTCTGTATCTTTGCCTCAGCTACTATAGCTCGTGATTCCCACTTCTTGCTCTCTGCAGATATTTGCTCTAACATGTTATTGCAAAGCTTGTTTAACCTTTTCTCCCATTGTTGTTCCATTTTGTTCTTGAGCCGTTCTACCCATTCTTCCTTTTCCGACCAGCCATCACCGGTTCCTTTGCCTTTACGTCCTCCCTTTTGAGAGCCCATTTTGTTTTTATCCTGTTGGGATGTTCTAGCTGCTTCAGCTTATCATAAAAATGTGTGTGTGTGGTGGGGGGATTTATGAGCTAATGTGTTTGGTTAGCTTAGATGTGTGTGTGTGTGTGTGTTGTGTGTGTTGTGTGTGTGTGTGTGTAGTGTGTGTGTGTAGTGTGTATGTGTGTGTGTGTATGTGTAGTGTGTATGTGTATGTGTGTGTGTGTATGTGTATGTGTGTGTGTTGTATATGTGTATATGTGTGAGTGTGGGTGTGTGTGGTTGGTGTTGTGTTGTGTGTGTGTGTGTGTGTGTGTGTGTGTGTTTACGCATATATAATTTGTATACTTTACATATTCCCAAACATATGTCTATAAATGCATCAGAAAAATTTCCGAAAAAAAACTGCTTTTGGGACATTTCGGCTCATTTGACAGATTCTACTTAAATAACATGGCGTCAGCTCATACATCAACATCAGATGAGTTCCTTGTTAAAGTCCAGCTCTGGTAATGTAAGAATCTTTATTCATTTCGGAGTAACTGTTCTCCATCA